GGCTCCTGGATGAACTGTGACCCAGGATATGTAAGCTAAATAAACCCTTTCCTCCCCAAGTTGGTAGTGGCCAGAGTATTTTGTCATAGCAATGAAGAAATAGCACCACACAGCAGCTAACAACTGTCTGTAACTCCAGTCCCAGGGGATCCAACAGCCTCTTCTGACCTCCGCGGGCATTGCACAACATGGGTGCACTTACCTACATGCAGGCAATACATGCATACACATAAAATAAAAATAATAAATAATTTTTTTTAAAAAATACAATCTTGCCGGGCATGGTGGTGCACGCCTTTAATCCCAGCACTCAGGAGGCAGAGGCAGGTGGGTCTCTATGGGGTCAAGACCAGCCTGGTCTACATAGTGAGTTCCAGGACAGCTGGGGCTACAGGGAGACCCTGTCTCAAAAAGACAAAAAAAAAAAAAAAAAAAAAAACAATCTTACGGACTTAAAAACACATTTTATTGAAAGATTATAATTCCAAATAAAAAAAAATCAACCACCCGATCACCCTGAGATATTACTTTCTCAGACTACAACCTGACATATTACATACTAACTTCAACATAATATTGCCCTAGGGGTCTAAGCTATGACCTTCTAGGACTTCAAGAGTTAATAAGTCCCTACATCATGAATATCCTTTACTATAGACTGTAAAAATAAGATTCTAAGATATTTAGAACCATATATTGGAATATAAAGGGTAATAATCAGTTCTTGAGAACAATGCTGTGAAGTTTCTCAGCATATCATGACAGACACCGCTGTAAGCACACCAAACTCCCCCAAAACTGAAATCTATGAGAACATCCCAGCTTATAGTGCAAATGGCAAATACAGTAATGTAGGTGTAACATGTACATTCATATACAAAAAGAAAATCCAAATATATTGTTTGTGGATCATGCCTCAAACCTTAGAGCAGAATTTTAAGTCTATTACACAGATTTGCATACATGCTAGACGGACCAGCAGAGGGAGCCCATAGCAGACACTCTGCAGGGATTTCTGATCAAAGTAAAGCTGTCTGGCTTCTGATCTCAGGCAGAGGCTGAGCAGCCTACAGACTGAGACCTGTGGCTCCAGTGATGCCTCTTCTCCAGCATACACCTCAATATGATGAGGCAGTTTGGATGAGCAGGGGCAGCCAGTCAAGAAGGATGCTGATAGGCCATGCTCAATCAAATACATGTGGCAGGCGGCTGTGTCTTCCCCAGGGTTACCCATAAAATGGTGTCTCCACAGTCAGAGTCCCTGAATCCAGTGCACATTCATCACTAATGAATGCTGAGTATTTGTGCGGTGGAGACAGTTGGAAAGACTAACAAATGCTAATACCTAGTGAATGCTTACTATGTACCAGGCAGTGTTGTAAGCAGCCCACATGTATTTACTCATGTAATCCTCAAAATAACCTTATAAAATAGATACTAATATTACCTCATTTTAAACGTAAAAACATGGGGCTGGAGAGATGGCTCAGCAGTTAAGAACACTGGCTGTTCTTGCAGAAGACCTGGGTTTGAATCCCAGCACCCACATGGCAGCTAACAACTGTCCATAACTCCAGTTCCAGGGAATCCAACAGCCTCTTCTGTCCTCCACGGGCATTGCACGACACGGGTGCACTTACCTACATGCAGGCAATACACTCATACACATAAAATAAAAATAATAAATAATAGAGGTGATGAACATTACCACTGAAATCTACCCAATGACTTCATAGACATACACAGGCACCAAGGATCTGAGTGCAAACAATTTTGACTAGTAATAATCAGACACATACAGATTAGAGACTCATACGCCAACATCTCAGAGTTAGCAGCAAAAAACAATGAGTCTTGCTCTAATAAACAGTATATTTTAGAATGAAATGGAGATCTTTTTCGAGGGTTAAAAACTCATTCAATTTTATGTCTTACAGAGCTTATACTGAGTTCAAAATAATAATATTAAAAAAATGAGCCAGGCATGGTGGCTCACACCTTTCATCCCAGCACTCGGGAGGCAGAGGCAGAGAGAACTCTGTGAGTTCAAGGCCAGCCTGGTCTATATAGTGAGTTCCAGGAC